GGGGGGGGGGGGGGGGGGAGGGGATGAGCGGGGGCGGGGTAGGGGGTGATGTGGGGACAGGGACACATATGTAATATCTTAATCAATAAAAAATATATAAAAAAAAATAAGTGAAGAATCCCAAAGGGTAATAACATGCCCTCTCTGCCCCACCACCAGTCCTCCCCATCCCCATTTCCTAAAGGCAGAGAAGAAGGAATTGCCCATTTTCATAAACAATAATTATTAGAGAAGTACCCAATTTTGAGAATCTTATTAATTGAGCATTGACAAAAAACAAAGGATCAAAATCAACACATAATTTTAGCTAGGAAAAAAGGGGAGAGAATGGTGCATTTTATATGGCAATGGCTGAGATTTAATCAGTACAACATTCCTTTATGATAAAAGTATTAAAAATGGTTTTCTGATATACTTTACCTTCCTGAAACCACCAGAGTTCCATCATCAAGTAAATAATCCTTCACATTCTGAGGAAGTGGAAGAATGACACTAAAAAAAATAAAAATGCATATACCAAAAAGGCATTATTTAAAAAGGCCAACCATAAGCAGAAAGAAAAAATTTCCATATTCAATTTTTAAATTACTTGTTCCCATTATACAACTATGACGTGGAAAATGTTAATGATGTACATTTGGTGGAGCAGACTAGAAATTAGAATGTAAATAAATATTTTGGTAAGCTAAATTAGGTTCATAAAGTTACTACAATTATCTTTGTGATAAAGACAAAAGTCAGCCAAATCCAAAGAAGCAAGCTGAAATCACAGTATGAAAGCAACAAACTCAAAAGAATTCTGCGTGAGTACAATGATTATATGCCTTTAGGGAATCAGAGACAAGAGATAATTGCAGCAACACGGGAAGTACAGCAAACAAATCAGAAAAGGAAGAGCATCTGGCCACCTTCTAGGAGAGAGGCCAGAAGTGGACTTAAGCTTCTGGAAACCATTCTTTGGCTGGCAATGAGCACATAAGCCTAAGAATACATGTGATGTGTGGATGCTTTTGTGGCTTCCTACTTAAGGGATCACCGGAGCAATAAAGCTCTTTAACTGGCCATCCTTTAGTTTCATTTGTTTCAGGTCATCATAACTAAGGATGGCAAAGCCATACTTGAAGTCACTTAAAAAACTCATGGGATCATTTGTTTTTTCTTCTGTAACAATAAATCACCAAAAAAATCCTGCTGGATACCTATAGTATATAATTAAGCAAACAACATTATGTCCTGCTTACTTTCAGAAAGTCAATAGAATATCATCAACTTATACTACACTTCATTTATTTACAGAATAATTTTTGGCACATTACAATGGTTTTTGTGCAAAGAAAAAATTATTTCATGGACTACTTCAGTTTTAAAAATTAGTATCTGATTTATCAAAGTTACAATTTCACATTCAAAAGCCTAGCTCTTCAGGCTTTTATTAAAAAGGTTCAATTAACAAATCTTATTAATGTATTTATAAACCTGCTAAATTTTAACCAATTTCAAGTGAGCCTCTGAAACTTAAAGGTTGCTTTAAAAAATGTAACTCTATTACATTTTTACAGTAGGTACTCGGGTTACGTCGGAGATCCGTTCCTTCGGCGCCACATAACGCGATTTTCGCCGTAAGTCGGAACCCACCTACATAAGCACCTACACCACTCACATGGAACACATACACAGCAGTAATGAAGTGAAACAGTAAAAAAAACTTAAAAGAAAGATAACAAGTCCTGACTTTTACTTGTGGTAAATAAATAATAAAAAGCATAAAGCACATATGTACATACATGGAAATGACGGAACTTTATTTTTTTAATAAATAAATGGGAGATAGTGACGTAACCATGAAACGATGTACATCGAGTCCGACGTAACCCGAGGACTGTCTGTATTCCATTTTCTTTTTAAATACAGGGGTGGGCAAAGTAGGTTTACATTTGTAATACAAATAAGTAATATAATAATTGATAAATAAGTAATACAGCCCTGGCCGGGTTGTTCAGTGGTTAGCATGGGCACTTGGACCAAAGGGTCGCGGTTGGACTCCCAATCAAGGGCATGTACCTTGGTTGCAGGTTCAATCCCAGGCCCCGGTCGGGTCAAGAGTGGAATGCAACCAATCGCTGTGTCTCTTCCCCTTCCTCCTCCCTTCCATTCCCTCTAAAAATCAATGGAAAAAATGTCCTCACTCCTTGGATGAGGATTAAAAAGTAAGCAAACAAATAAATAAGCAATCCTATATAATCCTATATAATAAAAGTCTAATATGCTAAGTGTCCAGTTTACCGGTCAGCTGTTCAACCAATCAAAGCATAATATGTTAATGATATGCTAAGGCTGCTCAACCACTTGCTATCATGTGCACTGACCACCAGGGGGCAGACAGTCAACTGGTCGGCCAGTAGCTATTATGTGCACTGGCCACCAGGGAGCAGACACGCTCAGAGGGGTAGGTTAGCTTGCTGCTGGGATCCAGCTGATCGGGACTGAACAAGATGGGCCTGACATGCCCTGGAGCCCTCCCACGGTCCCTCCCCGGGTGGCCAACCTCCCGCATCCCTCCCTGGCCTCAATCGTTCACCAATGGGGTCCCTCGGCCTGGCCGGCACCCTCTGGTAATCCAGGACCCCTTGGGGATGTCAGAGAGCAGGTTTTGACCTGATCCCGCAGGCCAGGCGGAGGGAGCCCACTGGTGCACGAATTGTGCACTGGGCCTCTAGTACAGGAATAAACTGTGCTTTATATACTCATAACTGTAAATCTACTTTTACCCATCCCTATATGTCAACTATCTAAATAAGCCTTCCCAGGTATTTAACTCTTATGAAGCCAGCAAATTAACCTGTAAGTATAGTGAATCTAAGGTTCTTGAAAAGATTCCGATATTATTTTAAAACTTAACTATTTTCTTTATATAGTTTAACATATCACCATTGTAAACCAATTACACAGTTTAAATTGGAACCACAAGGCTAACCTGTTTTATATATACTAGAGGCCCAGCACACGATTAAATCGTGCACGGTTAGGGTCCCTAGGCCTAGCTGTAATCCGGGCCATGTCCAACGCCCAGCGTCGCTCCTCCACCTCCGTGGCACCTGCCCTGTGAACCTCCACGTGCACAGCCCCCGCCCTGAGAGGCTCCTTGGCCTCAGCCGTCCATGCCCCGAGACGCTCCTCCACCTCAGCCGCCCCGCAAAGCTCCACGCTCACAGCCCCCACCCCGCTCCTCCACCTCGCCTCCGCAGCCCCACAACTCTCCATGCTTGCCGCCCCCGCCTGGCGATGCTCCTCTGCCTCAGCCACCTTGGGAAGCTCCAAGCTAACAGGCCCCGCCCCGTGAGGCTCCTTGGCCTCAGCCGCCACTGGGAAGCTCCTCACCCCGCGACTCCACGCTCACAGCCCCCACCCCGCCTCTGCTGCCCCACGATGCTCCACGCTTGCTGCTCCTGACCCGCGACGCTCCTCCGCCTCAGCCACTCCAGGAAACTTCACACTCACAGTCCCAACCCGCTACTCCACCTCACCTCCACCGCCCCGCGACATTCCACGCTCCTCGGCCTCAGCCACCCTGTGAAGCTCCGTGCTCACAGCCCCTGCCCTGTGAGGCTCCTCAGCCTCGGCGGCCCTGCCCCGCCACACCGTGAGAGCCAGACCAGTCAGTCCTTTGGTCATTTGGGCCCACAGCTCCCTCCTCCGCCGCTGCACCACAGGCAGCCGGGGACCCACAGCTCCTGCTCCCTCAGCTCCCTAGCCTGGTGTTCAGTCGTCCATCTGGTCATTTAGTGCCAGGAGCCGGTCCATCCTTGCTGTTTCAAGGGACCTGGCATATATGGCATACTGTTCTTAATATGTTTGCTCACCTTCTTGGCACTATGTGTTTTAACCAAGGTCACCTCTCTGAGAAAGGTTGTTTCCCCAGATAGGGATTTTCCCCTGAAGTTAGGGAGGGAATAAAACCTCTTGAGGCTCCTCAGCCTCCGTGGCCCCGCCACACTGTGAGAGCCGGACCGGTCCTTTGGTCATTTGGGCCCACAGCTCCCTCCTCCTGCCACCGCACCACGGGCGGCCGAGGTCCCACAGCTCGCACTCCCTCAGCTCCCTAGCCTGCTGTTTGGTGTCGTCAGCCAGTGGTTTCAGTCATTACCTCACCTAGCTTTTTATATATATTGGGATTATTGACTATATTCCCTATGCTGTACTTTATACTCCCGTGACTATTCTGTAACTGCCAATTTGTACTTCTTTCTTTTTAATATATTTTATTGATTTTTTTTACAGAGAGGAAGGGAGAGGAACAGAGAGTCTGAAACATCAATGAGAGAGAAACATCCATCAGCTGCCTCCCGCACACTCCCCACTGGGGATGTGCCTGCAACCAAGGCACATGCCCTAGGCCAGAATGGAACCCGG